CTTATCTTAAATAAGTTATGCTACAGCCTCCAAAATAATTGTCTGAATTATCATTTGAAACTTTAAAATATTAATATTTTTTAATAAATTTATTATAATATAATTATTTAATTTAATATTTTAAAATTTAAATTATTATTTTAATAAATCGAAATGAATTCGTCACACACTTTCGGAGTTGGAATCATTTTCTATCTTAAATAGGGTAGTTTCTTTTCTGTGGTGGTAGTTGGAACTTTCTACTGGGAAAGAAAAATGGAAACTGACATTCTGACACTACTGTTTGGAGCTTTCATATTGATACTGATTGATAGTTTATTCCTTCCATTCGTTCACAAATTAATTCAACAAAAACAAATTGTACCCAAAAATTGTAATCAAACCGGGAATGTGTATGGATTACATTTCAAACATATTTTGATCTAATTGAATTAGATTAGTTTATTTTATTTTATTTTATTTTTTATTTTTCAGTCACTAATCTAAACTAGTTATATTAATTTGGATTGGATTAGTTCAGAAAATTTATCTGAAAAAATAAAAATAAAATCATATTAACCAAATTGTAAAAATATTTTCATGTCATCAAATAATAAAATATTCAATATTATAAATGTTTATTAATATTACAAAATACTGCTTATTAAAACCGAATCGAACTAATCCATTTTGTAAAAATGGATGTAAAAATGGATTGGATAATTAAACTAGTTTTATAAAGTAGTTCGGTTCAGATTTATTTTTCAAAATAATCGAATTTTTCAATATGGATCGGATTGGTTATGGATCGGTTCGGATCAATTTGAATTTTTTGCACACTCTTGACTACTGTTACTATTGTTTAATTAGAATTGAAGCTAATATAATATAATATTAAAAAAAAAACATATTTAGAAGTAAATAATTTAGTTAAAATGAATATATGTGTGATGAAGAGAGTGGAGTAAATTTGATGATGTAGATGTAGGAAGGTGGTACCTGCATTCTGATGAAGAGGTCGGCGCTTTGTCTGATGGAAAGACGGTTAACGGTGAATTGGTGACGTAGCCTTTCTACCTCAGCGCGTTCTTCCGGTGTTCCTGCATTTGGATCGAATACCCAGTGTTGCCGCCCCACGAAATTGTTCACTGAAATCAACCCCTTTCCTCCTTCTCCTATCTTCAACTTCCACATCTTTAGTTTATCACGTCACACCTTTAACCTGCATATATAATACTATTTAAAATACACTCAACACAGATACATAGCTTCATCTTTTTTTATCTCAAACACCACACATGCAAACCTAGCTACGGCATAGCATTCATTACTCACAATACTTTCGATTGGGAATCAAGATACCTAAGCACCGCTCACAATATTTCGACCACGGCTAGCTCAAGATATAGGAAACACCACAATACTCGTGTCTATCTCTCTCTCTATATATATAAGTACATACATCGCAAAGCTACAAATTTTTTTAACTCTTACATATAAATATCTTAATATCGAAAATAATTTATTATTATTTATATATTATTTTATTTTATATCTGTATATCAATTTTATATATTTTTATTTTACTTTTTACTTAAATATGTTTTTAATCTCTCAAATTTAAGATAAATTTATTTTTGGTCCTTTAAATTTAAAATTGTTGTTTTTAGTCCCTGTAATTTTTAAAAAATTTATTTTAGTCCCTTAGGACACTAATAATATATTTGAATGTGACTAAATAATACAGTTATACAATATCAACCAGATTTAATGTGATATTTTCACTGATAGGGATAATAATAGGTAGATTTTATGCAATAATATTTGATAAATTTCTTAACAAAATTTGAATATAAGGACTAAAGTAAGATTTTTTGAAATTACAGAGACTAAAAAGAATAATTTTAAATTTGATGGATCAAAAATAGAATTATCCTAAATTTGAGGGACTAAAAACATATTTAAACCTTTACTTTTTTTTTAGTGTAAACTAATATAATAATTTTTAACTATTAATCTATCATTTTTTTTATATAAATTTTAGGGGAACTAAATTTTTTTAAAGCAATTTTATTACATATTTAAAAAATGGGGGAGAACCTTGTTCCTCCAAGTCCCCCTTTCTCTCTCTCTCTATATATATATATATATGTGTAAAATTGGTAATTCAAGGATTGTTACGTAATAATATATAATATATTCTTTTGTAAGAATATTATATATATATATATATAATTATTTTGTAAAGTGTGTTCACCATTTTTTTAAATTAATGAAAAAGTAATTAAGTTTAAAAAAATTTTATTTATAAAATTTAGAATAATTTTTTAATTTAAAATTAATATTTTTAGTTTTCTAATTTTTTTTTAAAAAATACTGTTTTAGTTTCTTAAGAGATGTATTAGACTAAGATTTCAATGAATTTTAAAAAAAAATTATTATAAATTTTTTTTGTGGTATTCAATTAAGACATTTTTTAATATAAAAAGTCATGTGATATTCAATTAAGATAATCAATTTTTTTTTTAAAAGTCCATCAAAATTTGATGGTATTCAATTAAGACATTTAAGATTTTTTAAAAGTCTATTAAAATATACTGATATTCAATTGACTTTTTTTTTTACTTAAAAAAAGTCCGTTCATATTAAAAAATATAGTGATTTTAGTGAATTATTTTTAATAATGAATTTTGTAAGACTTTTTAATATAATTTATATATAATTCATTCATGAAATAATTTCACAAATACTTTTAAAATTTTTGATGACTTGTTTTTTTCTTTTATTTCTACCTTTTTTTTTGTCTCTTAATCTTTTCTTTCATCTTTCTTGTTTCTCTCATAATTTTTTTCTTTCTTTTTCTTTCTTGTCATTCTTGCTTCTCTATTTTCTATTCTTCTTTATCTCATTTTCTCCTTTTCTTTTTATTCATCTCTCTCATTTATCTCTTATTATTCTTCTTTGTTTCATATCTTTTTTTTTCCTCTCTCCTTTTGTCTCACCTTTCTTGCTTCTCTTTCTCTTTCTCTTTCTCTTTTTTGTCTTTTTTTCTCTATCTCTTTTCTTTTTCTCTTTTTATTCATCTCTCATTTATCTCTTATTCTTTTTGTCCTTTTTTTTAATCTATCAATTGATGTATAATTTATTAATTTATTAATTATTAAATATTTAAAATGATTTTAGCATTTTTAAATATTGTTGGGGTTATTTTATGGTGTTTGTCTGAGAGGATATTTTATGAGGGCTATTTTTATAAGGTTATTACACAAGCATACTCTACAATGATAAGATATTATCTGCTTTGGGTCTAAGCCCTCACAATTTTGCTTTTGGTCATCACCAAAAGGCCTCTCTAACATTAGAGTATGTGTGTGCTTTATAAGTTGTTATTTTTTTCTCTTATTTTATCGATGTGAGACTTGTTTATATCCCAACAATCTTCCCCTCAAACAAGGGACCTAACATTTCATGCAGCGAAATATGTCTTTATATATCACATTATATGTTATGAGTTATGAGGGCTGATACCACAAGGTTATTTTATGATGTTTGTCTTAGAGAATATTTTATGAGTTATATTTTATAAGGTTATTACACAAGTATATTCCACAATGATGAAATATTGTCCGCTTTGGGTTTAAGTCCTCACGGTTTTGCTTTTGGTCATCACCCAAAAGACATCTCTATCATTGAAGTATGTTTGTGCTTTATAAGTTATTATTTTTTCTCTTATTTTATTGATGTAGGACTTATTTGTATCCCAACAAATATTATTTATTGTTAAAATTTTAAAATTATTAAAATTTAACTATTTATTTTAAATAAATTTAATATTAAAATATAAAAATTTAAAATATATATTAAAAATACTTTGCAGATCATAATAATAAGCACTAAAATAAAAATGAAGTTTTCAATTTACGTCATACATCTTTAAAAAATGTGATTGAGAAGATATTTAACATTTTTAAATCATGCTTCATAATTTATAAGTCAGTGTCTTTTTTTTTTATTTAAGATACAAGCTAAACTTATATTAACATGTAACACTACATAACCTACTTTGCAAAGAATATTGTTCGGATGAATTTCTAATTAAATTAGTGGATGAATCTTTATCTTCAATGCTATTAGTTAATGAAGATCATAATTTTGAACATATTGTTCATATTCATGTGCATGAAAGATAATATGTCATTGCATGGAAGACTAATATAACTTTAGATATATGAAGAGATGTAAGTTAGAAGGATATTAAATTTAATTATTTATTTAAAGATAAAGACAATTAATTGTCAAAAATAAAAAAAAATTATGTTGATTTTAATTTTTTTTTATTTTAGATTTTTTATTTATTAAGTCTTCTAATTTTACAAATCTATGTTTTCTTATGAAATCCGTAAAATTCTTTAAAATCTTATAATATAAATCTATCAAAATCTATTAAAATCCATTAAAATCTAAATTGCACAATTTTTGATTAAAATCTAAAATTTAAAAATCTTTTAAAATTTTTTTAGAAGTCATAACATTCATACAAAGTCTTTTTAAATTCATTAAAATTCATAAAAAAAAAATTGTTAAAATTACGTAATAGTAGATAAATCTGGTGTTACATTATTTTCCAGATTTATTAATGACTTTTGATTAAAGACTAGTTTTTTTAAAAATTACAAAAAATAATTTTTAATTTTGAAAAGAAAAAAAACTTGATATTTGATGAAATAAAATCGTATTTACGAGGAATATTTAATCTTATACCAAACCTAAAATTTAAACGTTATTAGGACTGAACTCATTTATAATATGCTAGTGAAGTTAGGTGAGTGAATAAATATGATTTTAAGTTTAACGACCGGATGGAGATGAAGTTGGAGTTGGGTGTCTGTTAAGAGTTGTTTCGTTTTACACATTTAATGATACATTCATTATGCATGCTTCGTGGGTTGACACGCACGGATTAGCATAAGCACTGGGCTAGTTAGAAATTTATAAAATTTATATTTAATATAAGATTATTGAATGTAATATTTAGTAAAAGTTATATCAGTCATATTTAATATAATTAATTATTTTTTATTATCTTAAAAAAATATATTCTTAATTTAATTAATTTTAATAATTAGGTATTTATCTTTTAAAAGATTTTCTAATTAATTAATTAACGAATAATATATATTAAGAAATATGATAAGATATGACTTATTTTTATTTTTTAAAGTTTAAATTTGTGAGGTTAATTAAAGTAGGATTTTGTTGATGAACTTTGCATATGAGTAAAAGTTAGAGTTTTCTTTTAAATATGTTAGTAATACTATGTTTGTCTCATTTTATAATAACTTGATCATATATCTTGTAGTTTGAAAAAAGAAGGAGAATCTGAATTTAGTATCGACCGAGGTGAAAAAGAGTTAAAATATCGTCATATAATATAAGATAACTATTAAGTAGTGGAATTGATCTTCAATTCTTCCATTATGTATATGTATGTTGAAGAAAGATTAAATTATTATCCTTAATATATCTTGTAAGAATGTGTTTACGGTGGAATTCGTTTACAGGTTCTTTTTATTTTAGACTAGCACGACAAACGTTTCAATTTAGATATATGTTTTGAATTCTATAGAATGAGAAGGAATAGAGCATAAAGATTAAAGATTACTAGTTTCTAAGTATTCATCAATTATTAACACGTAATAATTTCCATGCACGTAAACACTTAGATGAACAAAATGAACGATAATGACATTGACAATATAAATCATAGTTCTCTTTACACAATGTTCAAAACATTATAGCATTGATAATAATCTAACACTACGGGATTAAAAGAAGAACAAGAAACTACACTAATTCTACTCCTATAAAGAGAAAAGGAAAATGGCCGAGAAGTAGTCATGCCCAAAAATAATTCCTTGCACGAAAGCCATATGCGCAGGCGGAGAGTGCTTGAGAGTTTAGTTCTAGTATGAGTTTTTCCGACCCTCGTGAAGATGCATAACTCTTTAATTTATAGAGCCAATTAAGAGCGGTTAATTTGGTGTGTGTCAGCCATTATAGGATAACTGCTATCCACTATGCTTACCATGCAGTTTTAAATCGTAACTTCTCATAACAGTTCATACCACGTTTCTACTTTCTCGATTCAACCCTTAGTAACTACCCTGGTGCATTTTAATCGTCATAAACTTCCAATAACTTCTTCTCATCTTTTCGAGTATTCTTTGTTCGATTCAACCATTTTTTTGACTATATCTCCATCATGAATAAATAAAACCCCTAATACACTTCAGGTAGGTGTTGGTCTTCCTCTTTCCTTCGATCAGCTTCATGAGGACCTTTTTCGATTTCCCTGACCTTCGAGCAGCCCTAACAAATGCCCCCTAGAAATTCAGTTTCGGTGCACATACTGGGTGAACAAAACTGAATTCCTAACAAGAATTATTTTCGATGTTATGTCGAGTTATTC